GGCTTAATGAAAGTTGTAGTCCAAATCATCTTGAAGGCACCAGGTTGACACCAGAAGCAGCTTTAGATGTTCCCTTGGCAGTAATTTTTTAAAAATCCATATAGCACCTGTTATCTAAAAGCAAGTGTCAGGTTTTCAAAGCCCTCAAATAAGATTTCAACAATCACAATCGAAACCAGGCATCCCCCCCCGCCCGCCCCAAATCTAAATCTCTTTGCATTACAAATTTCTTACTCTGCTCTAGTTTCCAGAGGGAATTCAATTTACAAGTTCACTAAAGCATTGCAGAAACCCTGTCTCCCATTTGGCAGAGGCTATTTTAATACACAAAGTTTTATTTTCTGCCAAGTGGATGTTTTGTTTGCTTTCCCACAGTGGGAGACTTTTCTATGAATTCAAGTCTTAGATGGGATCCCTACACATAGAATATTATGTGAAAATTGCACGATTGAGCCTTTAGAAGACGTAACATATAAAAATTCATAAGATACACAAAGAGCAGATCTGATTAATATTAATCAGTCTCATCCATTGTGAAATATATATATGTTAGATGATTTATCATTCAGATAAAGTATATTTAAATGAGTAGAAGAAGTAGGTGTCGGTACATTTTACTAAATTAAAATTTCATACGATCTGCACAGAGGGGCCAAAGGTGAGCTAGAAATGAAGTCCACCTTTGGTAGTCATACATTCAGCTGCTTCTTGATCTTTATGATCAAAGCATATAGAATTGCCTAATACTGTATTGAATATATCATTTTATTATAATGAAGTATAGTATTAGGATCTAACAGTAGAATCTTATGTATGTCTGCTCAGAAATAGATCCAACTCAGTTTAATATGATTTTCTCTCAACTAAGTTTGTACAGATTGCATCCTTAAACATTCTAATGCATTAATTGCACGCAGCATTCAATAGAAAACCCACTTGAATACAGACAACTATTAGCCTCTTTTTATCCTAACCTGGTAGAACCACAATTAGGGTCAACAGATATGAACTATGTTGGCAGTATACATTCAAATCAATGTAGCCCTTAAATTATGAATTAGATCCACAAATCCTACTTCAAGAATAAAAGGCACTGGGCCCCACATACTTGCATATGTGTGTGTGTGTGTGTATATATATATATATATATATATATATATTCGTATTTTTTGCTCTATAAGATGCACCAGACCATAAGACGCACCTAGTTTTTGGAGGAGGAAAACAAGAAAAAAAATATTCTGAATCTCAGAAGCCAGAACAGCAAGAGGGATCACTGCACAGTGATCCCTCTTACTGTTCTGGCTTCTGGGATAGCTGTGCAGCCTGCATTCGCTCCATAAAACGCACACACATTTCCCATTACTTTTTAGGAGGGAAAAAGTGAGTCTTATAGAGCAAAAAATATATATTCAACAGCCTCTGACCCTAATAAGTCAGTTTGGGGGAACACAGATGACTGGAGATGAGGCGGGCTTTCAGAAAAAACACAAGTGTAGGATCTTTACAGAAGTGAAGCCAAGATACATAAAATCTAAGGTTAGCCTACAGTGTTCTTGCCAGTGATGGAAAATGGAATTCCAGGTGTAAGGAGTGTGTAATAGATACCTATCCCACGGCCAATGATGAAAAAAATCCTACTAAGGCGTGCGGGATTCCATTGCAGTCAATGGTCTTTGTGTTCCAAAACAAAACCATACAAAATATTAAGCTCTCTGTTTTGTAAGCACAATACATACTCAGGTGAAGATGAGCATGCACAGTACAAAATATGGTGCAGAGAGTGCAGTAAGTGGAAAATTTGAAATCAGCTATTGTTCTCATTTTCTGCTTGTGGCTACCCACTTCATGGCACATGATTGGCCACCGTAGGAAACATGGAGGTGCAGTAGGCAGGCCTTTTTATCTGATCTAGCTGGGTTCTGAGATATACATAAGAATATAAGCAAAAGCACTTTCTGCTAGTACAAGGTCACACCACTGAATACAACCTCGAAAGTATAATGAAATAATTATATGTACATGGATGAAGTATAGCTTTATACAAGAAAATTGTGCTGATCCATATTTAGCAAAAGTCTGTGAGCTTTTGTTACAATACTATGTAACGGTTGTGGTTTTTCGTCTTTGAAATATGAAATAGCAATTTCAGTCTTCAGAAAGACAGCTAAAAAGAAAACATTTGTATGCTCCTGAGTATATGGCAAAGTTTCATATAGTAGGCTTATCTATGAGGCAACTGTGAGAGTCAAGAAAATAAAGCTATTTTCTCTTTCTTGCTCTTCAAATAAAGAAAGGTCTCTTAACAGACTTAAGAGAATTATAAAGATAGGCACTGTCTCATGAGGGAGAAGAATTTAAATACAACAAAATAATGCTTCATTTGTCTTGCGGCGCAAGCCATCTCTACTGAGCTATCAGTCACACATTCCAGTGTGAAGCAGCTCCAAACCTAGAAGGTATTTTGCACACAAATGGCACCACAGGAGTGATTTCAAGCATCCTTCAGATAAAAGCAAAGATACAGAAAACAGGCATTGGAGCAATGATATAAATGGCTATAAGGGGTCCTGAAGGAACTGACAGCTCATGGCCTCTGATTATTATTATTATTAAAAAAAACTATTTTATTTTACATAAAATAATGAAGGTGGAAAAGATTCACAAACACTGAAGAAAGCTGAAAGCCATCTGACAGCACGTCAAGAATATACATGTTCTTAGAGTCTCATGATATCAACAACATGGTGAAATGTTTGCTGCAAAGGCCTAGGTTTTCCATTTATTATTCTCTTTACATTGTAAATATTGGCTGTGCTCACGTGTAACACCAAATCATAATTTGGCAACATGGGAGTAAACCTCAAAAAATCATTCTGGACTTCTCAAACTGATTTAGCAGCAACCTAGTCTGAAATGCCAAACCAGAATGCAAATTCAGATTTGATCAAGCAATCTTGATGCTTTCCACTGCTAGTTTCTGTAGGGCCACTCCATAATTTGGCATGATGTGTGAATGCGGCTAGAATCAGTGAACAGCAGTGGAACAGAAAATGAAATCATGATGCAGGGTTGGCATATCTAGAACTTTATTTATTGGTTAATGGTATTAACATATCTGGTGCTTTTCACAACAAATGAGTTCAATGCTCCCCATCCCAAAAGGAAACACAAAGGAAACAGTTGAAGGGGGGGGGGGAATGGAGGCAAGGCTAAACACAATAAGAATGTGCTTCTATTTCAGCTGGCTTAGTTACGGTATTAGGGCTAGGCAAGGTTGTTCCATAGGCTTCACACAATTTCAAGGAGGGCTTTGAAGGAAGTAAGGAATGCGATCACATGAAGGCATTCTGGGAGACAGTTTCAGGAATAAAGGGTAGCAAGGAAAGTTCCAGGACATGGTCTGAGGGTGCATGATGCAACTAGCTTTCTGCAGCTAAGAAAGCTGGCTCGTGCTAGTCCCTGGGTAGGAAATCACCTGGGAACTCCCAGATACTCCAGAGCAGGCTCACCCACAAAGCTGGGTGAGGCAACCCCCCCCCCCGAGGCAGTACACCCATTCCACTGCCTAGCTCTGCTCTTGGTCTCCCTGGGGCAGAGAGGGACTGGCGGCAAACCTCTGCTGAATGGTTCCCCTTCTGGTGAGTCAGCAAAAGGGGAGGTGTTCTGCTTCTCAGTTTGCTCCTGAGCCCGGGGTGGTGGTGGGCAGATATCTCCTCCCCACCTGGCAGTATGGCAGGGCTTTGCACTAGCTTTTGTTGAAGGAAGGAGCCAATGCAAACCCCTTTGGTGGGCAGGAAGGGGGATCTGGAAAGGATCTCCCCTCCTTACCCAGCAGGGGAGGTTCCTTAAGGAGTGTGCACCCCCATTGCAGGGGCAGCAGCAGGGCATTTCTCCTCAGGTGCCGAAATGGGATGCCCCTGAATTCTGTGATGGAAGAAAGGCAGTATACGAAATAAGGGAGAAAGGGCAGAATTGTTTTAGGAATGAAAAGAGCTTCAGATAACAGAGCAGGAAGAGCAAAGCTCACAGGTAGGAATGCGATGGGATAAAAGAGTAGGGAGATGAGGGAGGGGCAACTCGACATAGAAACAGAAATTCAGGCTAAGCCATGTAGGTTGAAAATGTCTTACAATGTATGTATGTGAAATAGAAACAGCTTGAACATTTATTAAATTATTGTAGTATAATACTAAAATAGGGACGCGGGTGGCTCTGTGGTCTAAACCACTGAGCCTAGGGCTTGCCGATCAGAAGGTCAGCGGTTTGAATCCCCGTGACAGGGTGAGCTCCCGAGGCTCGGTCCCTGCTCTTGCCAACCTAGCAGTTCGAAAGCACATCACGTGCAAGTAGATAAATAAGTACTGCTCCGGTGGGAAGGTAAATGGCGTTTCTGTGTGCTGCTCTAGTTTGCCAGAAGCAGCTTAGTCATGCCGGCCACATGACCTGGAAAAATTGTCTGCGGACAAACATTGGCTCCCTCGGCCAGTAAAGCGAGATGAGCGCCGCAACCCCAGAGTTGTCCGTGACAGGACCTAATGGTCAGGGGTCTCTTTACCTTTTAATACTAAAATACAATTAATGACAAGTAGAACAGAATATGCACCCCATCCATTTGTTTAATTAGGACAATTTTTCTGTATAAGTAGTAATTATGCATAGATCTTGCTAGTAAAGAGCACAATTCAAACTTATTTGCATGAATGAAGTGCTGGGGGTTGTTTGCCTCCATCTGTCTCGGGAGACAATGAAAGAATGCACCTCTGCAAGGTAAGGTCAAACTATTGGGGGGTTATTTGCTATAGAGCTCCTATAGCAAAGCCGTCTTGCCAATGATGGGTGAAATATTGCACTATGACAGGCTGAGGGAGTGTTCCACACTGGAGAGCCAGTGTGGTGTAGTGGTTAAGAGCGATAGACTCGTAATCTGGTGAACTGGGTTCGCTTCCCCGCTCCTCCACATGCAGCTGCTGGGTGACCTTGGGTCAGTCACACTTCTTTGAAGTCTCTCAGCCTCACTCACCTCACAGAGTGTTTGTTGTGGGGGAGGAAGGGAAAGGAGAATGTTAGCCGCTTTGAGACTCCTAAGGGTAGTGATAAAGGGGAATATCAAATCCAAACTCTTCTTCTTCTTCTTATGTCTGACTGTGCATATGCAGGTATGGCATTAAGAGGTTAGTTGGCTTCATCTGGTGGAAGTCACAGAGATGACTGGATACAACAACTACGATGTGAAAAAGTGGTGACCCTACAAAATTGGTGTCAGCTGAAACCACCCTTATTTGCTCACTCTGAGAGCCTTTGAACCTTCTTTTCAGAGGGGGTCTGTACATTACGTTAAACACATAGCCACATTGAACCTTATCATATCTCCCACTAACATTTAGTTACTGTAAAGTCAACACTTAATGTGACATCATTGCTTATTTAACTGTTCTCTACTCCACTTAATTTGCTTTGAGTTGCAGAGAAAGGGGAAATGGTGTGCAATTATTATGTCATGTCACATGTCTGTGACATTATCAGGAGATGTGGAAAGCAGATGTAAGTTAGTGGTGGCCAGACATTTAATTTTGCATGTAGTTTGGTCCTTAGATCTTTTGGATGATGCCTTAGATTATTTCAAAGGCAATCCACATGCCATTATTAGTCTGAAAGTTTATTTCATTTTTTATCCGTAATACAACCTTTTATCATCTTTACTGCCTGAAATTGTTGCCAAATTCTTCTTCTTCTATTATTATTATTATTATTATTATTATTATTATTATTACCTCACTAAACTGAAATAAGCTAATATTTTAATACCATCTATTTTATAAATTACTGATGTGGTGATGGGTCAAAACACATTCAGTATACTTTCAGAGCAGTACACATTACTACAACTGAGCAGGCATAATTAAGTCATTATGTTACTGGGCTTGTAGCTAAATTAATAATTGAGGTTTACACTTATCAGGGCCTATAAGAACAGCAAAAGTATGAAGTGAACCAGAGATTAGCAGCAGGGGAAGCAGTTCAGGTATTATCTTGTCTCATTTCTAATCCTGTCTCTAAAGCAAGCAGATGGATGCTGAAACTACAGTGGCACTAAACTATAAACTCAAATTCTCTGCATAGCCACATAAACAAAGATGATAAAACAACCTCTTTTGTAAGACTATCATAAGCAAACTAGAATATAAAGCTAACAAAACAAAACATTTCCAATGCAAGGTCTTCCTAGGCACAAGGAAGCTGACACTTCATGTAGAATGAAGCGTTTATGTTTTTGACCAGAAATATAACCTCAGGCAGAATAGGGTGTAGCACAGTATGCAGCAAGAATGTGGGAACAACGTCATAAGTAAAGAAGGAAATATTTTCCTTGCTTTTCTCTTACATGTATAGATAGGCTTTTCATCATTTCTGTGCCTATCCCTCAGAAATGCAGATACTTAAATCTCTTTTATCTTTCTAGCATATTTGATTCTGAGCTAAAGAGAAGACATTTCATATTTAAACAAAAGATCTGGAATTAATGGTATGGAACAACTGCAGAAAGCAAAAACCTAATTTTCAAGAAAATTAATAGGGAACAACAGCATTCCACTGACTCACAGTGAACAACATATTTTCATCTAATCTATTACAGGTGTTTGAGATAAAAGGAGAGTATTTGTGATAGAGAAGAGCAGTGCTAGAGAGATTCTGAATTTTGAGTTCACAGAAAATAGGAGCATAGACTGAGCTGATAGACATAACTTGACAAAGGAATAGAGCTCTAAGGCTTGCTGCCATGTTATTGCATGTCTGAAGCATCTCTATACATACTTCCTATTTGCTTCTCTAAAAGCAGACATAAAAGGTTTCCAAACATTCAGACAGTGCACCATTGTGTGGGCAAGAAAACATTTCTTACTCCTTCCCAATAAGTCATAGAGATTTGCTACAGAATGAATATTTTTTTCCTATAAATATGCGAGCCTTTAAGTGGAAATGGAAGATAAACAGAGATGAGTGGAATCATTCAGGTGCAACAGAACCATGAGTTTTCTAATATAGTAATGTGCTCAGCACAATGACAAACCCTTCATTGTAGAATTGTTCAGTAATTATCAGCAAAACTGTTTATAAAAGGGATCTGTATATGAGTCTTAAAAAGATTTTCATTTACATCCCCCCCCCTTTTCCATTAAGTGACAAAACTGCCAGTACCTTCCACTGCACTTGAGGAGTGTCAGCCAGGCAGGCCATATGGCACAGCTCTGTCCATTCTCCTCACCTGAGACAGGTGCCTCACTCTGCCTCATTGTAGGGCTGGCCTTACTTACTTCCCAATCATGAAATTCTTAAATTTGTTCAGCACCCAATGTCTATTTCTACTACTTACATAAGTTTTTAAATTTACATTTAGTTATGTTTTCCACATAATGCATTCAATGTTTAACCAATTTTGGAGATTAGTTAATGTATGTAAGATTTTTTTCAAACTCACGGGATTTGCAATATGAATAATGTGAACTGTTACAAACGCTGAATTTTTAATATTTCACACCAAAAAAAGCCTCAAGGTAACCTTTAGCACAACACTGTAATCTTGGGAAATGAATTAATCATAATTCATTTCTTTGTGCATATTGTAAATCTGACGATTACTTCACATGCAGCAGTTGGCTCCAACTTTCATATATGTGGGATCAGAAATCATACCAAATGGAGATATCCTGGAACAGAAAAGTAGAATTGGGATGGGATGTCAGAAAACCAAACCACAATTACCTTAAGACACCAAAGGTGGACATGAAGAACAGACTTCCAAGAAATATTGGTACATAACGCTTATAACCATCTTTATGGCCTTAAAGAGCGACTTAATAACTTATCCTATTTGCTACCTATTGTTTTATTATTGATTGCTTTTATTTTTATTAACAATTATTGTTTTATAATTGGCTCAGATTTGTTTTCTCCTCTGGTGTGGTGCCGCTGCCAATGAAAGTGTGTGGCACGTCATGGTGGTGGTGCTGGCGGAGGTGAATGGCATGGAGGAAGCACAGCAGTGTAGAAGAGTGGGCAGCACTTTCCGTTTTGCCTCAAGTGGTGCTACAGAACACACCACCCCGCTTCCTCCTCAGTCTAGAAATTTGGAAACGTCTCCCAAACTTAGTGATATGCAACCCATTTTTTTTGCATTAGGTCCTTGGAGATGCTAAATCTGAGTATTATGTTCCCAGAGCGACTGTACTAATTGAAAAGCAATTACGGTAACTTAGGCCTAGTGGTGAACTACCTTGGTGAACTATACTTGAATTCAGATAGGAGTTTTTTCCTTATACAGTGGTACCTCGGGTTAAGAACTTAATTCGTTCTGGAGGTCCGTTCTTAACCTGAAACTGTTCTTAACCTGAGGTACCACTTTAGCTAATGGGGCCTCCCACTGCCGCCACACGATTTCTGTTCTAACCCTGAAGCAAAGTTCTTAACCTGAGGTACTATTTCTGGGTTAGTGGAGTCTGTAACCTGAAGTGTCTGTAACCTGAAGTGTCTGTAACCCGAGGTACCATTGTATTGCAATATAGTAATTTGAAATGGCAAAAAATCTAAACACCTCAAAGCAAAAGTGAACCTGAAATCAGTGTCTGGAACAAAATCTGTTAAGCATAAACATCTCATATAGCTGACATAATACATTTTAAAACAAACATATATTTTAAAGATGTAGAAACTGTTCAATATATGTCGTTTCAGTATCCATGGGTAACCAGCTAGAAATTACTATTGCTGTAGCTTATCATTACATTGTTTGATCCACCATGACTAACAAACTAAAAATCTCACAAAGTAAAAAAAGCAAAAGATAAAAAGATAGCATTATAAAATATGCAATTCATATCTGTAGTGACTTACAGCCTTTTGATTAATCATTCTTGATGTATTGTACATCAATAATTAACTATTGTAAATACATATCACTGCTTATCAGAAAATTAGCTACTTAGAAATTCATCACCCTTATCATTTAGCTAATTTTTTATCTTTAATGACTGGATTTCCCCACCCCCCACTAAAATGAAATGATTTATGGTCATACACGTGTTCTAGATAACTGATCCCAAGAAAGAGCTTGTCAGATACCCTAAAGCTCTCCTTGGACTAAATCAGTGGTTCCCAATTAGGGGTCCGGGGACCCCCAGGGGGTCTATTTTTTGTCATTTTTGTATGGTAATATCATTAATTTTATGGTCTGTTTAACACTGTGCAATTTTTCAATAAATTGGCCAAAATTCGTTTTGAAATCACACCGCGATAATGATTTCGACCCAGCATTACACAGCAATGTATCACTCCCTGCGCGAGGGAGAGCAGGTCAGTCGATTTCAAGGCCCCACCAATATCGCACGATGATCTCAGCCGATAATGCTGCTGATCTGGGCTGCCTTCCCTCATGCTGAGGGAGACCAGGGCAGCCTTTTCCTCACACTGACAGAGAACAGGACAGCTGATTGCCTTCACTTCAAGGCACTGTGGCACTACATTCCTCTAGCACTGAGGCGGAGCAACTTTTCTGTCAGCAGGAAAGTAGCAGCAGCAGCAGCCACAGTGGATATGTATCTTTGCCGGCTGCCCCACTGACGGTGGCTTGATGCATCCCCCACCTCATCCCCTCCCATTCAACCATGCGGTGGAGGTGACTTCACTTCCTCTCCTCCCCTCACCCATCCAATCTCTGCAACTGCTCCTTCCTTCATCCCCACTCCTGATCTCCAATGTCAGACATCGTGATATATCAGAATATCTCAATGTTCAGCTGTTGATATATCACGATGTTGAAAACCAGATATCACTCAGCCCTAGTCTGTGTTTTAGTATACCTAAATTCCTTTGCTTATTAAGGCCTACCCCATATTTTGTTCAAAAAATTGTTTTGCATAGGTAACTATCATAGAGTTATCAAAAATTTCAAAAATTGGGGCGGGTCTGTGGCTTGGCTTTTGAAAAAATAGGGGGTCCTTAGGAATTAGTTACCGTAATTGGGAACTACTGGACTAGATTATTCAAAAGAAGTGAAAAGGCCTATGACTGAAACATTCTGGCAGGTGGGGAAAAAGACAAATAATATTTAAACATTTACTATGTGTTATTATGGCTTATATGCCAGTGAACTCAGGTGATGAGTGCAGATTAGAACCAAAATGGGGCCACTGAAAAAGAAGAGGGAGAAAGCAACCTGTTTGTGGGAACTTCAGGTTTACAGAAGTGCAACACCCACAACACGACACCCACACACCTTTTAAAAACAAATTAGAAGGAAGAAATGAGCCTCCAAAATAGTCAAATGGGAATTGAACCTGATCTGGAGCCAAGCAATGTTGACATTTGGAAAAGAAAAATGGAAAACAAAATGGGTGGAATGAAATTGAAGAAAGCATGGGTAGAACCCTGAACACTTCTCTCAGAAGATGAGGACACTCGGCAATGTTTTAGGTGCTGAGATGAGAACACACAGTTACCAATTTAAGGTTGCAGTATTAGCATTTAAAGCTCTGAATGGATTGAGACCAGACTGTCTGAAGGACTGCTTGCCTTCATATGTCCCTGTCCAAGCCTTAACAGCAGCATCTACAGTTCTGCTCTCTGGTCCACAAGTGAGAGCTGTTAGCTTCTTTTCTGTGATCTGTACTGAGTCAAACCACTAGCCCATCTAGGTTGGTATTGTCTACAATGAATGCAGCAGCTCTGCAGTTTCAGGTAGTAGTCCCTCTCAAAATACTGGGGATTGAATATGAGACCTTCTGCATGCAAAGCAGATGCTATGCAACTGCCCTTACCAAACAGGATTGCAGCTTAAAGTCCATATTCATACACTTTGTTTTAATGCTTTTAATGTGCTACATTTTTATTCTTAGCTCCTCTGGGCTCTCATGAGAGGAACGACAAGATGATGATGATGATAATTCTTCATGTCCTGACAGGAGCATAGCATTTCAATCTTATTTGGTACAATTTAGTACAGTTTTCTTTATTTGCTAAGAACAAATGTTGTTTATCTGCAGAGGAAAAAAGAACCCTGCTTGCTTCTCTCCCCACCGCCTCCCACAGCCCATTCCCAATTTTCCTTTTGGCTTGTTTTTTAATTAATCATTGTTTGTTGCCCTCAAGGCTGTCATTAATTAAAAAAGGATTTTTAGAAAATCCTTCTGGAATATCTAGAGCTACTGGAAGATTTCATTTTCAAAAGATGATTTAAAATGCTTAGTGATTATTATCTGTGTCTGTGGCACCCAGCAGCTGACTTTATGTAGATGTGAACTTCTTTACGTCAAGGACTTCCCTTGATGTTTTATTAACACACTTTTTTTGTCTCTGAGTGTAATGAAATTGCATTTTCTACCTGGAATCAATGCTCTGGTGTGGATGTAAATATACAAGTCAAGAGGACAGATAAGGGAGATGTGCTTGCCTCTTGGTAAAGTTTCTATCCCATGTTGGAAAACACAGAGAAAGAGATTAATGTCTTTCAAAAATTAAAGTGCACTGGCACTTTACTCAGTATATATTTTAAATCTGTGATTAATAAGATGCCATTGCGACTTTGTCAGCTAATTGAGCTTTGTGTTTTACAGTCTGAGGCAGGCATGGGAAACCTGTGATCCTACAGATATTGTTGACTCCTATCAGCCCCAACCAACACAGCCAGTTGCTGGGAATAATGAATCTTGTAACCCAATAACATCTGGAGGACCACAGATTCCCCATCCCTGGTCTAAAACAAACTATTTTATTAAAATATTATAAATCAAATCAAACAATTCAAGCAATTGCCTTGTTAAAAAATAGCACATTCTATACCCTTATATAAAGCTATAAAACCTTGTGAATAGAGCAATTTTCTACCTACAAAGTCTATCAGGGTTGCCATTAAGGCTGCTATTGCTAGTCTGTCTGCCTGTGCTCCATAACATCTGAAATTCCTTTAGTTTTACATGTGAATGTTCTGCGCTTCATTTGTAAGCATTTGCGTTTAAATGGTGAAAATAATAAAGTGATACAGCACTGCAGAAGTAAAACAATAGGTGGAGGGAGAAAACAAGATAATTCCTCACCCTCAGGGCAATATATCAAAATAAGCTCTTATTTTTGTCAGCTTAGTTATATATGTTAACAAGAGCACTGGATCACCAAGGCAGCAGTGTGAACAGTGCTGTAGGCTAAATTTACAACAGCATAATTACTAGTACCATTAATAGTACCAATATTTTAGTAGCACTAATTATATCTGAATAAAACAAATAGCAATTCAATGGTAAGCATTAAAACAGCCCCGATATAATGCAGTATGGAAAACTATTATGAAAGAGAAAAATGAAGTCCTTTTATTAAGTTTTATTCTCCTACTATTATAATGATTCAAACCTAGTGCAGACCGTGATAGTGGAAATAATATCTTCATTTAAGGCATAGATCCTGACACTGTGAAAATTTGGTCTACTGCATGTTGATTAGATTAGAGATATTTTAACTGGCATAGAAACTGAAATTTAAATGCAAGATCCTTTGAGTTCAGTGTGAGTTACTCTGTGTTAGAGGGTTTAGGATTATACCCTTCATACTTTCATGAATTCAAGATTCCAGTAACTGGTCTTTAATGTTGATAATTTTATTGATAGGGTTCTGTCTGGCCACAACTCTCACACAAGCATACACAGTTATATTTTAAACCAAGGGATCAATTCATTGAGGATATTCTATGAGAAGAACAACCAGCATCAACTTGAATGAAATGCAAACTAAGAGAAAATCAAGTTACCTTTTTTTTTTTTAAGCAAGCAAACAAAAACCATCCTGAAAGTAAATGAAATCTGTCCTCAGCCTTTCAACTACTCTAAAGTGATAGGCAATAACTGAGCTGACAAATCAGACTAAACCTGAAAAGAAACATTTTGTGGTTGGTGATTGAAAGTGAACATAAAAGAACGTCAGGTAGATGGATGCTTTATTGCTATTTCATATTTGAAAGCGGCAAACAAGGACGGAATGCAGCTGAAGATGTGAAATTGCAAGTCCTCCATCTATTTCAGGGGACTTGGCAGATGCAGCTAACCTTGTCTTTTGATCATGATCACACCCCCTGAGCCTTTCTACACATTGATCAGCTGTTCCACCTGATGAAAGCTTGTCATGGGGAACACTCTGGGGATTTATATTTATATGCACACATTTTCTTGCTATTATATTTTTACAGCAAGCAAGCTATGCATGAAAAAGAAAAGACGGTAGCAAATACCGTTGCACAGCAGGAAGTGAACTGATAACAGCTTCTGATGTTCAGAATGGAAAGCTTCAACTTCTGCTTTGTTTATAAATTTGGAGTGATAAAAAAAATACATCTATCAGCTTCTTTATCAATTCAACATGAACAACTTTCTCATCTTTGAACATCAAATCTCATTCTATCCAACTCCTTTCTATGCCATTCTAGCGCTGCGTGTTTATTCTTACAAAAAGTTCTGAGCCTTTAATTGGAAAAGATTTATTTCATTTGCTATTATCTCTCATAAAGTAGCAATGATTGAAAATAATACAAAAGATCTTGGTAGTGAGGATTTTCTCATGCTGTTTCTGAAAATTGACAAGGAATTGTGGATCACAGGATGGGAAGCGTAACTCAAAATGTTACCTATAATGTTCTCAGTTGCATTCATTTTAAAAATTGCTTAATGTGTTTCCATAACATCCTTGTTAACCGGATAACTCAATAAGCAGAAGTGTTGACTAACAAAGCTAGAAAGAAGATAATAAAACAATTATATTTATGCAATATAAAAAAGGTTATTTTTAAAATATGGAAGTGTTTTCTTTTTGTATATTCAGTACCATTTTTCAGAGACTCAAAGGTGTGAAAAAATATGAATTAAAATAAATGTTTTCAGTTCTGACTTCTAATTAATTGAAAGTGAGTTGGGAATAACTAACTAACTGTTTCTATTCAAGAATTTCAAGCGGATGTGTACATTTACCTTAATTTCAAGATAACTGTTCCCTAATACAGTGGTACCTCGGGTTATGAACTTAATTCATTCTGGAGGTCTGTTCTTAACCCAAAACCGTTCTTAACCTGAGGCGCGCTTTCGCTAATGGGGCCTCCTGCTGCCACTGTGTGATTTCTGTTCTCATCCTGGGGCAAAGTTTGCAACCCGAGGTACTACTTCTGGGTTAGCGGATTTGTAACCCGAAGCATTTGTAACCCGAGGTAACCACTGTACAGTGTTACTGAGATGTCAAAACTGTACTTAATCCCTATGACATGTTTCTTTTTCCTCAACTACTCCACTGAACATTTCATTTTCCTAGGATATGTAATTTCTGGCATTAAGGTGACTATAGCAAAATGTGTTTACTGGCTGGACAAAGTGTGAAGTGCTGAGAGGGTTTTTTTTTTTTAAAGACTTGACACTTTCTCTTTGTACACATTATACCTTTAAAGCACATTTGAAACACGTTATTTCCCACACAAAATTCTGAATACTGTAGTTTATCCCTCAAAGAGCTACAACCCTTAACAAACATGGCCTAAACATGCTCTTACATCTGTCTTACATATAACATCTAGCCCACTGCACATATTTATCTTGAATGGACATAACAATACTAAATCCACGTATCTGTACCAAGCACAGTGTAAGAATCTAGTTAAGACAGGTGTTTAGAACTCTCCTACATAAGTACCTAGCTCCAGGTGGCTCTCTTAGGTATCAATCCATCTATCTGATTTATCTTTTTTATCTATGTAACATGTCAGCTTTTAGAGATCAAGGAGCAAAAAGGAAGACTAGGCAAAGGCCACTGGATGAGTGGTGACAAGGAAGCAGTCAGCAAAAAGAATAAAATAAATTTCTTCAGACAACAATATTTCTTTCTTTTTATTTGACAGAAAATGGTGTAATAAATTTGTTTCTAAATCCTGATCCATTTATCTGCAGGAGCACTACACAATTTCCTGGAGGCATCTTTGCATTTTCTGATTTAAGAGAAGGTCAGTACAAAATTATTGTGTGTGTATGTATTAGTGTTGCACACCACCCTTCCAAATTAATCAGTACTGTACTGTATTATAGTAATAGGTTAATACACATACAGAGCAATCCTATGGAAGTGGTAGCGATGATGGAAAGAACTGATGGTGGAACCACCACCACTTCCTATTTCCTGCAGTGATGATATGGCCAGGGCATAGCTGTCAACGTTTCCCTTTTTTAAAGGGAAATTCCCTTATTCCGAAAAGGATTCCTCGCAAGAAAAGGGAAAAGTTGACAGCTATGGGCCAGGGGTGGGAGGTGGGAGGGCAGCTTTTTATTATTCTTCATAATCCCTCTTGACTAAAGTGGGAGGGAATTAACTATGTCAGCTCCAGGGCTGATGTAGTTTCAGGCCCTGGTGGTGGTGGTCAGGAGAATGAGAAGACTTATGAACCTGTGTACCTCCTGCCTTCCACAACATGCTCCATTTTGGCCCCAACTGGTGATGGTGGAACTTCCCACTACTGCAGCAGGAGGGCCTCTAACAGAACAGCAAGAGCTTTTTAAAACCCATAAGTATCATTGAAAGGCATGACATTACTCCCAAGCAAAAGCTGATCAGAAAGTTCACAATACTGGTTTATGTATATACCCATATTTTCACAAAGATAATTGTACAAATGATTAACAATAATATTTCAATTTGTCACTTAACTAGCATTTCTGAGGCACTCAACACCTCTGCATAGCCAATTAATTTTAGTAGATGATGCTTAATGGTAACAGTTTGCTAGGCACAGAATATACTGAAATGAATCATGCTGTATTATTACTAGAATCCTTAAATATATTCTCAGGCTTTTTATGTTGTTACAAGTTGCCAGTTTCCAGCTGTCTAGCAAATCCTACATTGAAAGATTGTTACTAGGAGGCAGGAGTTTTTCTGTAGATAGGATGCCATTATCACTACCATAATGAGAACTGTCACTTCCTCTCATCTGTTCCTTATGGGAAACAGCTTTAAAGCACTAATATAAAGAACTATACTGTTAAATTATGGTTATATGTCTCTCTTGCTGACCTAGTTTTGCTGTTTTAGCCTAATTCTCCCCCACAACAAAGATACTTTTCCACCTCTAAATTTTATTTTATTTTTTACTAGATTGCAGTATCATTTGATATAGACTATATGTGTACAGTGGCTCTGATCCAAAGCTCTTTATATGCCCCAGTTAACACAATGAGTTTCTCCAATGACTTCAGTTCTGAGGACATATTCAATGGCAACACAAAGTCAGAATTGTTTCTAATTTTATTTATTATTGAAAACACATATAAACCGTTCATTTATAAATTTATAAAGCTCAAAGTCGTTCACAATATACATAAAATCAATAAATAGCAACACTTAAAACATCCAAATAGTTATATGATTTCTACAACTACAGCAGCCAGAACCAAAAAAAACCCCTCAATATTAACAGTAAGTAAATACCAGGGTAAACAGAAAAGTCTTTAGTTTTCTGCAAAGGTGCCCAAACTTCATTGTTCACCTGATCTCCAAATGGAGTTCATTCCATAAAACGGCTGCCACAACACCCTCTTTCAAACTCCAGGCAATGTAACTTCAGCAGGTTGCATTACCGTGAGGAGAGTGCTACCTATATATTGCAATGACCTGGACAGAGTATATATGGCAGCTAACTGGCAGACAGTGAAGATCCTTTAGCACTAGTGTTACATGTAGATGTGCAGCAAGAAGCCCCACTGAGTGGCCTTTCTGCAGCATTCACATGCTGCAACCAGCTGGCAATTCCTACTTATACAAGAGCTTCATGGTATGTGAAACCTCCCTTCATGGTTAAAACTGAAGAAACTCATCATTCCCTAGATTTAAAGGTAAAGGTACCCCTGACCGTTAGGTCCAGTCACGGACGACTCTGGGGTTGCGGTGCTCATCTCACTCTATAGGCCGAGGGAGCCGGCGTTTGTCCACAGACAGCTTCTGGGTCATGTGGCCAGCATGACTAAGCCGCTTCTGGCGAACCAGAGCGGCACATGGAAACGCTGTTTACCTTCCCGCTGGAGCGGTATCTATTTATCTACTTGCACTTTGACGTGCTTTCGAACTGCTAGGTGGGCAGGAGCTGGGACCAAACAGGAGCTCGCCCCGTCACCGGGATTCAAATCGCCGACCTTCTGATTGGCAAGCCCTAGGCTCTGTGGTTTAGACCACAGCACCACCCGTGTCCCTAGATTTACAGTGCATTTAACAGCTATATCTTGCCTGACTCAGCTGTGGTCCTTGAATCTGCTATGAATGAGAACAATGAATTGATTAGATTAATTTATGAAAACTATTGTAATCCTCTCAAATATGTTCCCAATTAATTAGGATATCTATCTATCTATCATCTATCTATCTGTCTATCTATCTATCTATCTATCTATCTATCTATCTATCTATCTATCTATCTATCTATCTATCTATCATCTATCTATCTATCTATCTATCATCTATCTATCTATCTATCATCTATCTATCTATTATCTATCTATATCTATCTATCTATCTATCTATCTATCTATCTATCATCTATCTATCTATCTATATCTACCTGCTTACCTACCTACCTACCTACCTACCTACCTACCCCCAAGTGGTTACTCATAGAATAACTCCCCAGGGATGGCTTCCTGTAGCCTTCCTGATGCTGTTGGACTAGCTCTTGGACTAGCTCTGCCCCACCTGGGCTATGGTCTGAGATGGTTGAAGTTCTAGTCTAGCAACATCTGAAGACCAACAGGTTTTCATTCCTTATTTCATAAATGGTAAGTGACAGGCAATATCTTGGAAGAGACATTCATCCTTCTCAAGCAGGCATGATGAAATGCCTCTTCTAAAATGGTTCCTGCTTTGATACATGCATGTATCATCTAAAAACAAGGAAATGGTGTCCTCCCTTGATCAATTGACAAAAGCTCATACAATTAATTGGATTTAAAATAATAATAATAGGGTTATAGCAGGCATAGGCAAACTAGGCCCTTCAGATGATTTGGGACTACAATTCCCATCATCCCTGACCACTGGTCCTGTTAGCTAGGGATCATGGGAGTTGTAGTCTGTTATGTACTGAGTTGAATAGGATCCAAACTGCAGCAGTCTGATTGGTCCTAGAACAATAGGATCCAAATTGCAGCGGTCTGATTGGTCCTAGAACAATAGGATTCAGAATGCAGCAGTCTGATTGGTCCAAGAACAATGCAGCAGTATGATTGGTTGGCAGGAACCACCCAATCATGCTCCAGATATAAGTGAATCCACAACCTGATTGGCTTACAGTAGAATTCCAGAATTAACCAATCATGTGCAGCCCATTGTGTAAATAATGTATATAAAGCAGATACTTTGAGGGGACATTCATTCATTCCTCCTCACCACTATGAGCTGAATAAAGAGCATGAAATCACTTTGCGACTCTGAGTATATTTCATAGTCCCAAAACATATGGAGGGCCGAGTTTGCCTATGCCTGGGTTATAGCCTTATTACAACATTCTGCTCCAGTATCAATGAGCACCACAACAGTTTGGGCACATCTGGCACAAGACAGTCCACATTTGATTACAGTAATTATGTTGTTTGTTTTCTTACATTTGAACCCTAACCTTTGAAACAAGCGAGGCAAGGAGAAAGGCCTCCCTATGTGAGCATAATGGACAGGAATGGTGCATAATGTTCAAATTGAAAGACTTTGAAATGCAATCATCTGTGCTCATGCAGTCATGCTTTTTGTGAGCTGGCAGTCTTTTCTTTTTCTTTTGGTACAGAAGTCATCTGGGAATGATACTGTGTGTGTGTGTGTGTGTGTTGGCATAGTGCAAGATATTTCCTACTGGATTGTAAATTTTGAATATGCTCTGTAAGTGCAATGCTAAAATCTCTAACACTAAATTTGCATTGAACTAAGCAAAAGTCTTAATTGTTACCATAGTCATTGTGGATGGGGAAAGTTACTTCAGGTAAATGGCCATTATCTTTAGAATACAGATGCTCTATTTGGCTTCTGATTTTACACAGAAAGGCAAGATCCTCAAATTCTGAATACATCCTGTCAAATCTGAGGAATAGATATAATTAAAGCCACTTTCACCTCTTGTATTGAATCTCACTGTCGTATGTTTCTTCATAGATGCTATTTCAGATTAGACTAGGCTGTTAAGAGCAAAAGTGGCATGCATTTTGTCTGTCATTTGACAAAATTACATTTCCTAACAATAATTTGTGGGGCAGCACTGCTTGCATAACAAGCAAGCTAATCTTATCTATTTTAGGTTACAATGTCAAAATTTATTATACTGCAATCTTGCTGCATTAAAAATAATAGGCAGGAAGGAGAATGATTGTTGCCAGACATTTTACTCCAAATGCCATTAAGGGATAAGGAATATTTTAAAATATTATTTAAACAGCAAAGCAATTCAGGAGTTTCATTTCACTGGATCACACCTGTTCCTTTACTCTTGAAAAATTGTTCTGAAGTTTCTAATTTTAATTTCCCTAATTCTTACTATATTTGAATGTGTAAAATGTGCCTGTAATTAATTCCAAGGAACTCATAGAAACATAAGCATTATGCTGCCGTTGAAAAAAGCTCAGTTCAGTTAAGGGTTTTACCCAAGGATCTAATCAGATATTAATAAAATTTCACGTTTAAAAAAATAATTTCATCTAACTTTCATTGAATAAAATTATTTAAATTAAAAAACCCTGAAACCTTCAGCAGTGCAGTTCATGGTCAGCACATTTTGCATCTCCTTTCCATGTACCAAGAGTTAGGCTACAATTCTATACACACTTACTTGAGAGTAAGCCCAACTGAGTTCAATGGGACTTACCTCTAACTGAGTAAACGCATATAGGATTGCACTGTTAGTTATAAAGTCAAGAGCTCTTAACCAAGGTCCTATTTTCATCTGTACTTAGTAATTTATACATAGAGAGCCTAAAGTTCAAGAATCATCTCATCCAACTAGGATGAAATATGTAAATTGCCATGTAAATTGTATGCTGCCTTGGTTTGCAGGGGTTAAGATTCCATTAATATGCATAACAAGATAATAGAACAGACACTTTTGCTCATTATTTTAAAGGAGATGGCCTTGACTTTCAAGAGCTTTCATATTACAAAATGTTATGGCCTATACAATATATACAATATATATATTGTATATCCAGTATTTACAATATTATAAAATGTTATGGCCTATCCAATAGACATATTCAATGTATGGATATCCAATACACACACGCACAGACACACACGCACACACTGCATTAATAGTGCCAGTCACAATTAACATTTAAGTAATAATTATTGTACTTGCACCTTTGGAACAGATAATTATGGCACTGCTTCTCAATTTGGAAATGGGAGGAGTACATACAAATGAATCTGTCCTTTTTTTTGTCTTATGAGCAAATACATATTTAAGTCTCAGGATTTTTCAAATTTCACACGAATACCACTAAAATATAGAAGCATTTACAGGGGTCTCTACTGGACATACGACTAAACAGAAGAGGCAATGGGGTGAAATGTACAAGGATGGGTGCATAAGTCAAATAGGTGGGAAGATTTTGTTCAAATAGAGTAGTCTTGCAAGCTTAGGGAGGATCTCATTTCTATAAGAAACAGTGTGCTTCTGACAAGAGGCAGTTTACAGAAAGAAGATTCTGATTAAACACCAGGAAGAACTTTCTAACAGCAAGATCTGTTCAACAGTGGGCTCCCCTTCATTGGGAGTTTTTAAGCAGAGTTTCAATGGCTGTCTGTCATGGATGCTTTAGCTGAGATTTCTGCATTGCAGGGGGTTGGACTAGATGACCCTTGTGGTCCCTTCCAACTCTACAATTCTATGATTCTGGAAACAATTAACATATAAATAAGCACCAAACTTCCACTAGATTCTACTAGATTTCCAGAAGTGCATTTTATGTCACACTGTTCATACTACATATTTCCTTACAGTACACATCTGAGAACTTTAGTCAGTATAAGCTTCCAAATGACTCAAATGCTTCGATGTCATCTGTGGCTTCCCCAGGGAGACTTGTCTATTTCACCCTCTAATAGATCTCACTATGAGGAAATGGCCTATTTTTCCCCCTTTGCCCAATTTCATCCCATTATGGTATTTTCCCCCTTCCTTGTCATGCTCTATAATGGCTTTCATTCCAGGGCATGAGTAGAAAATAACCTTTAATTGAAATGTTACTCCTTCACTCCTCTTTTGCCTTGCAACATTTGTAGTATACATTGGTCTGGAAGAGGAGGCAACATCTGTAGCTTGTATGAACCAGACCAATGCTACATGATACCAGTCCACTACTCAACTTCCAACCATAATTATGGAGTGCAGAGTTAAAGTAATAAAGGATAAGAGGTATGGCATTTTCTTTGAACGGAGACTTTCTAGAAGTCAATTGTTTAAATAGTCCAATTTTGTAAGCAGATACTGATCACCTAACTGTAACCCCAGCGTACTTGCATTTTTAAAGTTGTCATTAACTTTCCCGTTATTATACAATTGAGGAATTATATGCAAACTCTAGTACCATTAAATTGTAATTTTGGTGAAAGCTAATATGAAGCCTGTGCTAGCTAACCCAAATATAGTACTTACTTAACTTTTGTTTTAGCAAAAATTTAGGAAACATAAAGATCAACATATTTAGTACAACAGATTAAAACTACAATATTCAAATTGTGATTTAGAATTTTGAAAGGATGTTTTGCTTTTGGACTTTCTCAAGATTCCCTTTTTAACTCTCTTCTTTAAAAAGGAGAGAAAAGAATCCAATTCTGTCAGTCTTTTTGCACAATAAGCTATAGAGTCATAATGCCACAAGTGGGGAGATCATTTAAGTATCCACAGAAATTCAAATATTGGTCTACACAGATTTAATTCTGTATAGTCCCTTCAAATGCAACTGGGATGTTTTCTTTATACATTGGCATAATCTGTTCACATGGGCAGTATACAATCTGGGAGTTCATGCAGCAATTTTGTGATATCCAGAGTACTAAGCTATACCTTTCAGATTACAAACATTGACTTGACTGAGGTATATGCGCTTCTAGCTCCCACATTCCACTGCTTGTGTAAGGTGAAAAAAGTGAGCAGAAGCAACATGTGAACTGACTCACCAATTAGGGTTAATGTTATTTATTTTTATGTTCAGAAACCCCGGGGACCATTAGACTGGCAGTTGAATGAAGCTTCTGGGCATATGCACACACGTACACCAGGCTTGAATTTAGGGGGACAGGCAAGGACATGCTTAATAAACTCTGCAAGTCTCATCCTTCAGTTTTAGCCAAATCACATTCTCCCTGTGGCCATCTGAAACAATAGTACAGGGTTTGGGCTGCCACAAAAGAACAGCGGACAGCGGTCCTTAGAGGCCCCTGAAGTGAGAGCCAGAGAATTACTGGTACTAAAGTGGCTCAGGGCATAGACCCATCAAACAAATTTGCATACAATTGGCATATGCTAATTTATATGTTCAGATGCCTCTGGGAAAATTAAGATGGTAGGTGGCTGAGGTCTCATCAGGACTATGCCCAGCTGCCTTGTTAAAGAACAGAAAAGGGGAAGGAGATCCAGGGCTTGGGTCCCCTTGGCCAGCACCTATTGGAGCCCTTGGCCAGAGCACTGCAAGTATCTCTATTTCAAATGTCACACAAAAAACACATGTAATAGGTATACTCTGAAAATGCAGGAACTGTTCCTTTCTGTAACAGGTACAATGGCCCAAAGTGGTGGTTTATGTATAGGGCCCCAGTTCTCGATCCTGAGTCTTTTGCCTTATTTATCTCCAAACAGCAACTCTGCACTACATTGTGAATCATTCTTGGAACTGTTCTCCCCCGCCCCCAAAGGGAGCTTCCTGCCATGTGACATGGGGGCCTCACGTGGGAAGTGGGAGTTAGGGTTGGCAATTGTTAACGAGATTTGCGTAGTGTGAAAATCTAAGTGCTCATCCACATTTCTGTTTGCCCCACCACTTCTTCCTAGGAAAACCCATAGCTTAGTGCTGAATGGGAACAAGTGGCAATTGGGTTTTCTGTGGATTTGCCATTTGTTCCAACTTAGCTCTAAAGAGCGGGTTTTCCAGGGGAAAGCAGAGGGGCAAAGGCAAAACCGCTTGGACCCAGGCTGAAAAAAAGCATGGGACAAGCAGAAAACTGCTCAGACCTGTGCTTTCTAGGCATGGGACAAGCAGAAGTATGGATGAGCCCTAAGAGACAACAAAAGTACTCATTGTGACTATCTATGCCAGAATTTGACAGGTACCGGTACATCCAGAAACTCAGAAATACCTTTCCCTTCTATATATCATTGTGACCTGCAATATACTTTTGTTTTTTTGTGTGTGTGGTATTGTTACATCTTATGTTTCTCTCTTATTTCTCTTACCTCTTAAAAACTTTAGTGAACTACACTATGTCATAGTTTTTTCATTGTTTTAAAAGAAATTCATAAAGAAATAGGAGCACACATTTCTACTGAAAATTTAGCTTGATGGAAGGTGAAATGAATTGAAGATTTTATGACATGACATGTAAATCGCCTGCCACAGTGTTTACCTAGCCCATGCAAATTGGCTGTCTGCTTTTGATGAGAAAGATTAGGGCTGTCCACAATGATGAGAAAAACACGTCCCTTCTCTTCTCTCCCCGCCCCCCCCCGGCAAACAGTTTCTTTTTAAAAGGAAGAAGTTAACATGGAGAAAACAGCTAAGTGATTTATGGCTAGTTTAGATGAAAGTTGTGCAATTGCAAGTGTCAGCTTTTCTCTTCCTTGCTTCGTAGGAGGAGAAACTCAGGGGGAAAAAATAATACAAATAATGTTTTCTCTTCCATGCTACCAATACTATATACTTTATCACCCAGTGGCTTTGTGTAATAACTGTTACTGAAAAGGCTAATTTAAGATCTAAATTTATTTTAATTAGGCTTTATAATGTTGGAGCAGATGTTAGTCTGTTTAAAGACAAACGTGCACTTGCTAAGAATCTCAATGAAGCCTCTGTTTTAGAAACCTTATTAGAATAGAACTAGAGAATAGAAGGAAGATATATTAGAATTGGAGGTGGGGTGCGAATAAAGAAAAAGAAAGAAAGAAGGCTCATGGAAAAAGCAAAGACTTTCTCGTTTTGTTAGACATGCCTTGCTATCGGCTCCAGTACGGCTCCAAATTTGGGGTCGCAGTGCAGTATTAATAACTGCCAGTTGTTGTTAACTACTATGGAACACTAGATAACCTTACTGAGAATCTATATCTAGATCTTAGGCAGCAAAGTAATGAGTCCCAGGGGAATGAAAGCACTAGCCTTCTTTGTTGTACCTATTGATCTACTGTAGAATCCTGATGTGATTTAGATAAGAGAGGAAGAGATAATAGCATTGATTATTCTATTTAGGAG